TGTGACGATGTGTAAGTTTTATTCCTTTGGTTATGTGTAATTTAAACAGTAGTTTAGGGATGGTAAGTATGGAGGATTATGTTTTGTTGGAGATGGTGGCTTGGCGTTAGCTGAGTTGCCATAGCAACAGGGGCGGAGCCAACTGCCTCTTCAGGAGGCAGCTGTTTTAAAAAGTCAGTCAGTGGCCGGAGAGCTACTGAGAGGACTGAGTCTCTGGGTGGAGATTCAGGGAATGTGTCAGTAAGCTGGTGAGCTACTGAGAGGACTGAGTCTCTGGGTGGAGATTCAGGAAATGTGTCTGTAGCCGGTGTGCTATAGGAAAGACTGAATCTCAGGGTGGGGATTCAGGGAATCAATTGGTGACCAAAGTGGTTGCAGAGAAGGACCCAGTAGTGAGAGAGCTACAGAGGGTTGTTGATTCTGAATTAAGAATCAAGGTTTGGCTGGGTTTAAGCCTGTTGTACCTGCTGTGAGGCGTTTTGAAGTCTGTGCTTGAGATTACTCATGAAACCTTTTCAATGTAACCATCAAGATTTGTGCCTCTTGTGAAGAAACAGTTAAACATGTTATACTCCTGTTAAAATAAACTAGTTACTGTTTTCCTCAAGCCTTGCCTGATACAGTTTCTCCTAAGTTGAACAGCCTGCAATAGTAAAGTCAAGCCAGGAAAGTAAATGCTACGCTATCTAATGAACAAAGCCTTCTGTAAATCACAGTCCCTTTATAAAATAGCTCCTAGGTGGATATTAATCGTTGCCCAGCTTCCCTCATAGATTAGGTGGCAGTGGGTGTTTTACCACTCGCACCTTCACATTTGGTGGCATTCGGTGGCATTAAAACAGTCTTCTTTACAATTGGTGGCAGCAGTTTAACTACTTCTTTACAATATATATGTGTGTTTGTGTGTATATGTGTGTGTGTGTGTGTGTGTGTGTGGTTTTGTGCAAGCATTGTAATTTTTGGGTTGTTGTAGGTTTTTTCGGGCTGTGTGGCCATGGTCTAGAGGCATTCTCTCCTGACGTTTCGCCTGCATCTATGGCAAGTATCCTCAGAGGTAGTGAGGTCTGTTGGAACTAGGAAAAAGGGTTTATATATCTGTGGAAGGACCAGGGTGAGACAAAGGACTCTTGTCTTCTGGAGCTAGGTGTGAATGTTTCAACTGACCACCTTGATTAGCATACAATGGGCTGACAGTGCCTGGAGCAATCTTTTGTTGAGAGGTAATTAGATGTCCTTGTTTGTTTCCTCTCTGTTGTTGTGCTGTTGCAATTTTAGAGTTTTCAAATACTGGTAGCCAGATTTTGTCCTCCTTTCTGTTGAAATTGTCCACATGCTTGTGTACTTCAATGGCTTCTCTGTGTAGTCTGACATGGTGCTTGTGAGAGTGGTCCAGATATATAAACCCTTTTTCCTAGTTCCAACAGACCTCACTACCTCTGAGGATGCTTGCCATAGATGCAGGTGAAACGTCAGGAGAGAATGCCTCTAGAACATGGCCATACAGCCCGAAAAAACCTACAACAACCCAGTGATTCCGGCCATGAAAGCCTTTGACAATACATTGTAATTTTTGTTTTCTGGCTTTTTAAGCCTTTTCTGCTGTGTTTTTATGAGTTATGGTCACTTGTTGGCCTGAGAGGTGTCTTGTGTCCAAATTTGGTGTCAATTTGCCCAGTGGTTTTTGAGTTATGTTAATCCCACAAACGAGCATTTTTATTTATACTAGCTGTGCCCTGCCATGCGTTGCTGTGGCCCAGTCTGTGTATATGCATGTTTGCGTATATATATATTTGGTTTTGCGCATGGATTGTAATGCTTTTTTTGTTTTGGGCTTTTTAAGTCTCTTTTGCTGTGTTTTTCACTGTTTTTAGGAGTGATGGTCATTCGTTGGCCTGGTAGGTGTCTTCTGTCCAAATTTGGTGTCAATTCGTCCAGTGGTTTTTGAGTTATGTTAATCCCACAAATGAGCATTACATTTTTATTTATATAGATAGATCTTTTACTTTGTATTTTTGGGCTTGTCCCCTTGTGAGCCACCCAGAGTCTCTTCGGGGAGAGAGTAGTGGGGTATAAAAATAAAGTAGTAGTACTAGTTGTAGTAGTTGTTGTTGTTATCATTCAGAGCAACACGACATTAATTCTACAGTGTAGATCAGTGTTTCTCAACCTGGGGATCGGGACCCCTGAGGGGGTCGTGAAGGGGGTGTCAGAGGGGTCGCCAAAAACCATCAGAAACACACAGTATTTTCTGTTGGTCATGGGGGTTCTGTGTGGGAAGTTTGGCCCAATTCTATCGTCGGTGGGGTTCAGAATGCTCTTTGATTGTAGGTGAACTATAAATCCCAGCAAATACAACTTTCAAATTCCAAGGTCTATTCCCCAAACACTCCACCAGTGTTCACACTTGGACATTTTGAGTATGCGTGCCAAGTTTGGTCCAGATCCATCAATGCTCTCTGGATGCAGGTGAACTACAACTCCAAAACTCAAGGTGAATGCCTACCAAACTCTTCCAGTATTTTCCATTGGTCATGGGAGTTCTGTGTGCTGAGTTTGGTTCAATCCCATCATTGGTGGAGTTCAGAGTGCTCTTTGATAGTAGGTGAACTAGAAATCTCAGCAACTATGACTCTCAAATGTCAAAATCAAACCACCCTCTAACCCAGGGTTCCTCAAACTTTTTAAACAGAGGGCAGGTCACCGTCCCTCAAACTGTTGGAGGGCCGGGTTATAATTTGAAGAAATCCATGGATGAATTCCTATGCACACTGCACATATCTTATTTGTTGTGCAAAAAAACCCCACCTAAAAACAATACAATAGTTAAAATGTCATTTTAACAAATATAAACTTATTAGTATTTCGCCGGGAACGGGACAGGGGGAGTGTGTCACTGTTGGTTCTGCTGGACCTCTCTTCGGCCTTCGATACCGTCGACCACGGTATCCTTCTGGGACGCCTCGCAGGAATGGGTCTTGGGGGTACTGCTTTGCAGTGGCTCCGGTCCTTCCTCGAGGGTTGCTCCCAGAAGGTGTCACTAGGGGACTCCTGCTCGACTCCTTGGCCATTGTACTGTGGGTCCTGCAGGGCTCAATACTGTCCCCTATGTTGTTTCACATCTACATGAAGCCGTTGGGAGAGATCATCCAGAGTTTTGGGGTGCGGTGTCATCTGTACGCAGATGATGTCCAACTCTGTCACTCCTTTCCACCTGCTACTAAGGAGGCTGTTGAAGTCCTGAACCGGTGCTTGGCCGCTGTGACGGACTGAAAGAGGGACAACAGATTGAAACTAAATCCAGACAAGACAGAGGTACTCCTGGTCAGTCGAAAGGCTGAACGGGGCATAGGGTTACAGCCTGTGCTGGACGGGGTCACACTCCCCCTGAAGACGCAGGTTCGCAGCTTGGGAGTGACCCTGGACTCATCGCTGAGCCTGGAGCCCCAGGTTTCGGCGGCGACTAGGGGAGCATTCACACAATTAAAACTTGTGCGCCAGCTGCGCCCGTACCTTGGGAAGTCTGACTTGGCCACGGTGGTCCACGCTCTGGTTACATCACGTTTAGATTACTGCAACGCTCTCTACGTGGGGTTGCCTCTGAAGACTGCCCGGAAGCTGCAGCTAGTCCAACGCTTGGCAACCAGATTACTAACGGGTGCTGGGTACAGGGAGCATACGACCCCTCTGTTACGCCAGCTCCACTGGCTGCCGATTAGCTTCCGAGCACAATTCAAAGTGCTGGTTTTGACCTACAAAGCCCTAAACGACTCTGGCCCTGTTTACCTGTCCGAACGGATTCTCCCCTATGAACCATCAAGGTTTTTAAGATCTTCCGGGGGGGCCCTGCTCTCGATCCCACCACTGTCACAATCGCGGTTGGTGGGGACAAGAGACAGGGCCTTCTCGATGGTGGCTCCCCGGCTGTGGAACTCCCTCCCACAGGAGATTAGAACGGCTCCCTCCCTCCTGACGTTCAGGAAGCTAACAAAGACTTGGCTATGGAATGCGGCCTTTGACAACTGAGTCAACTCTGAGTCCACATGGAAGGAGAATGAGTAACTGTGAATTATGACCAGGAATGTTTTGATGACCTGGCAGTGTAATTGTGGTGATGACGATGTTGTATTGTAATATGTTTTTAACGTGTAATGATAATGCATTGTGTGGTTTGTATTTTGTATATGAACACATGTTGTGAACTGTATCTGAGTCCCTCCTGGAGGTGAGAAGATCGGTATAGAAAACGTTTAAATAAATGGGAAGTGTGGGCCTGCTTGTGGCTGATGAGATAGGATTGTTGTTGTTGTTGTGTGCTTTCAAGTCATTTCAGACTTAGGTTGACCCTGAGTGAGGGCCGGGTAAATGACCTTGGAGGGCCGCATCTGGCCCCTGGGCCTTACTTTGAGGACCCCTGCTCTAACCCCACCAGTATTCAAATTTGGGCATATCGAGTATTTGAATGAAAATACATCCTGCATACCAGATATTTACATTATGATTCGTAACAGTATCAAAATTATTTTGTTGTTGGGGGTCACCACAACATGAGAAACTGCATTACGGGGTCGCGGCATTAGGAAGGTTGAGAACCACTGGTGTAGATGAATCCCGGGAGAACCCACTTCAATGCTTGCATGAGTCCATGTCCTGAACCAATCGTTTCAAAGATATGCAGGAAGCTTCTTTTTGGGTGAAGAGGTGGCAAGTCTAGCCATGAAAACCAATCCCTTCTTGCCCCAACCCAGGCCCTGAACATTGCTTTGACCCCCAAAATAAGAGAGAGATTTCAAAGAAAGACCAGACCACAATGGAGTTTGCAATGCTTCAAAGCAAGATATATTTGTTTCTCTGGCGTACAAGCCGGCACACTTTAATAGAGGAGTCAGAGTTGGGGGGGGGGGGTTAGAGAAGGGTGAGGAAAGAATGCATGGCTAGTCTTCTATTGTGAAAGCTGCAATGGCAAAAGACAAAAGAAGCTGCAGGAGAAATGGACCCAGCAGGAGAGGAACGCTGGCCGGTTTATTTCTTACACGGCTTGGGCCGATTTATGATGACCTTGCCTTCGTCGTAGTGGACGGGATGGTCTTCCTCACAAGCGATGACAATATAGCGAGGCCGCTTGTCTTGTGTGTATTCACAGGGACGGCGGATTGACCCTGCTTTCAAGTTACAGGTTGTGACGCGGAACTGTGCACAGCTCATGCGCTTGGTCTCAAGGGGATCCCCTTTGTCTTTGCACACGGCTTTGATGTCCTCAGTGCTGGCGTGGATGAAGCTGTTCTTGACTTTGCAATTGGGACTGGTCATCCCTCGATCCCTCATCATTTTGTTGCAGTATTTGTTGTTGACATCCTTGGTGTTGTGCCGATGCTGTCTCAGGAACGTCTCGTACCTCTCCTGGACCCCAGGAGATGGCTTGGACGCATCTATTTCTGCGACCACGACCAAAGCAGCCAGGAACACCAAGAGAAGGAGGCTGGGCCCTTCGAAAAACCTCATTGTGGAGGTCAACACAGGGATCTAAAGAAAGGGAAAGAGACAGGCAGATGCACATAAGGTCTACCTGGCCAACACCAGGGATCTAAATCCAAGGTAGACCAGTAAATATTGTACACATGGCCCATTTTGTTCCCTTATAACGTCTGCAAAACTGCTTTCGAAGTAGCAATAAAGCAGAGCAGAGTGTGGCCTTCCATAGCTCTTGTTGTGGCCCCCAAACACCTTCACAGAAGCACAGAAATTATGTCGGTAATTGGAAAGCTTCATGCAAAATTCCTACTAATTAAGTTGCAAAACCGGCTGGACCATAATAAAATCATCAGCCCTAAGCAAGCTGGATTCCGTAAGGATCAATCAACCTTGGATCACTGCTGAATACTGTCACATTAGGCAGGCAAATACTCCATGTGTAAAGCCTCCAAGCTATTTGCTGCTTTCATTGATCAGAAAGGAGCTTTTGACTTTGTAACACTACAAACCTGTTTCGCCTGCATCTCTCCTGACGTTTCGCCTGCATCTATGGCAAGCATCCTCCGAGGTTGTGAGGATGCTTGCCATAGATGCAGGCGAAACGTCAGGAGAGAATGCCTCTAGAACATGGCCATATAGCCCAAAAAAACCTACAACAACCCAGTTATTCCGGCCATGAAAGCCTTCGACAATACAATAATAATAATAATAATACAAACCTCTTTACTATTGAGGTCTCTGAATATCTTGATCTCAGAGTTTGTTTCTAATTAGACAACTGTACACCAATAGTATTGTCGAAGGCTTTCATGGCTGGAATCACTAGGTTCTTGTGGGTTTTTTCGGGCTATAGAGCCATGTTCTAGAGGCATTTCTCCTGACGTTTCGCCTGCATCTATGGCAAGCATCCTCAGAGGTAGTGAGTATCCTCACTACCTCTGAGGATGCTTGCCATAGATGCAGGCGAAACGTCAGGAGAAATGCCTCTAGAACATGGCCCTATAGCCCAAAAAAACCCACAAGAACCTAGTACACCAATAGTGTTTGCCAAATTAGATGCACGGAGGAACACCTGCTAACTTCTATTGTTATTATTATTATTTATTACCCCACTTTATCTCCCCAAAGGAGACTCAAAGCATCTTCTAGAATCAGTGCTATATGTGGGGTCAAGTAGCACTTTGTTCAACATATTTCTGTATGATTTACCCCAGGCTTCCGTGTTGGTAAGCTCCATTCTGCTTACGTTCCCTTATTCTCATATGCAGACAATGCTGTGCTATTGTCCTTATCTAGGACCGGCCTTAAATGCTTAATTCATTGCTTTGCCAATTATGGTGAAATAAATAGACTGGAAATGAGCTATGTGAAATCCAAAATTCTCATGTCTGCCAAAAAGTAGAAGCCCATGTCTTGGTAGATCAGGGGCCACAAAACCGAACAGATCTAATCCTTCCTCTTTTTGTATGTACCTGTGTGGCGGCACGAGTGGCGCCACCTACCTATATGTAGAACTGTAAGTTGCAGGATTTGAACTGTTGTATCATGCCTGGTTTTGCCTTTTTACCCTGTAAATGTATAGTTGGATTGATTGGTTATTTATAGCTGTCAATCAATGTTGTTTGCACCAGTTATATTGCTTCCTCGGCTCAATTGCTTGGCTCCACCTCTTCCTGGAGGAGGGCAGAGCTTTTCCTTTTCCATTCTACCATCAAACTTTCTATCAGATAGACGTGAGAAAGAGACTTGGCTCTAAAGCCCTTAATTAAGTTACCTCTCAGCACCAATTCTAAGGTTCTTACCCTTGAGACTTATGCTTCATGTTCAGATAAACCTGGATGACGTTGAGAAGTCTCACGCGCCTTCAAACCAGTTCTTTGGCACCAGAGGAAGGCTTTGTGCCTTCAAAATATAGGCCATTGGAATTGGGGTTGTGATTATTCTGATATTCACAGCCATTGAGAAAGAGGGACCTGGAAAAGCTTCTCAGCTGCAAAACTCCTTGGACTCAAGGCAACCAGAGACTGTAATGTATGTTTTCCTTTACCCCTTTGAAACTTCCAGCTTATTGCCTTAAAGGGATAACTCTTTGTGAACAATAAAACCTATTTTGAGTTATCTACAGTGTTTTGGTCCTTAGGAGTTCCAGTTTTCCTAAAGGAGGGCAAGAAGCAATCCCCTGGGGGAAAGATGTCACGTCCATGCTTCTTTCACGAAGAGTTATAGCCCTCAGGCATGACAACACAGCCTGTGTTGTGCTTTTGTTATTGTATGCCAATAAAAGCGCTCTCTCTCTCTGTGTGTGTGAGTGTGTGTGTGGCACAGAAACCTACAGCTGGAAGAGACCCCAAAGGTTATCTAGACCAACCCCAGTCCGACGTGCCAGCCAAGATCTTCTGAGAAACGACCACATGGTCTCTTCTGAGACTTCTAGGAAACTCTCCATTTCCAACCCAAAGAGGGGTCCAGTGATCATTCCCGAAGCCCCCAGAATAGGTTTATTGGAGTAGAACTAACTCACCATCAGAATCACTCATTGTTCTCCTAAATGTAAACAGCGAAGATATAGGAAAATGAAATGTAAACATGATGACACTTATGCTAAAGCATGACAATTGTGTAAAATAATCACAGTGACTATTCACAAATCCAAACTGTAACACCAAATAACAAACAGCAGAGCCAAACTATGGTTTGAAAGTATGTGAAAATTATTGTTTGACCTCACCGTGGTTTGAGCTAGCCGTGGTTTGAGCTAGCCGTAGTTTTCACACATTTCACACATCCCATTGGAAACCATGGTTTCCAATGGGATGATGTAGGTTTTTCAGGTTATCTGGCCATGCTCTAGAAGTGACCTCACAACCTCTGAGGATGCCTGACACAGATGCAGGCGAATCGTCAGGAGAGAATGCTTCTGGAACATGGCCAAACAGCCTGAAAAACCTACAACAACCCAGTGATTCCAGCCATGAAAGCCTTTGACAATGCATGGTTTCCAACTCTGATGTGTTATCTAGTTACATATTCTAGCTTTGTGAAGAGCTGCTGTGATTATTTTACATACCACTTATGCTTTAGACTAAGTGTTGCTATGTTTACGTTTCCTTTCCCTACATCTTCATTGTTTACATTTAGAAGAACAAGGAGTGCTTCTGATGGTGAGTTAGTTCTACTCCAGGAAACCTGATGGGTACGACAAGACTCTTTAAGGAGCTGAATGGTGTTTCCAAAAGTCATGACCAACAGAGAGATGGGAACCCTCTAATAGGAAGTCAGTGACAAAGCTCCGAAGGAGTCTTGTCAAGCAATCCCTACAATCCTGTCTCCAAGAGTCAAGGTCAACTTCAATGTGGAGAACATCATTTGTGCTTGGGATTTGGGGGCAGTGCAGAAGGTGCTGGGACTGAATGTGGATCCCTGAAGGGGCTGCTAAGTTGCCCATTGCATTTCAGAGGCCAAGGAAAGAAGCGTGGATCAGTGATGTTTGACCACTTAGCCACTGGTGGATTCTGGGAGTTGTAGTCTGCAAGGTCTGACTGTGGTGCTACTGGCCAAAATCCCAATGTGAGTCCCAACTAATGTGCTGCTGAATCCTTGAGAACTTGGGTAGATCTAAATACCCTTGATCTACTACTTGAGGTAAATAGTTGGAGTTATTAAGCCCCTTTGAGACTCACTTGGAGAGCTTCCCTTGGCCTTAATTCAGTCTCTTCCTCCAGGAGAAGTGCCTTCCAATCATGACTTTTTAATTACTCTCTTTCGTGTAGCTTGCATACAGAAAGTACAGCAATTTCAGAAAGATAAGAACCCATAGCCCAGAGGTCATACTCACGCTCCAAACAGAAGAGACTTCTTTTGCAGGATGCTCTAAGAAGAT